AACGAACAAAGTTGACAGTCTGTTGGAGGAGCAATGGAGAGGGCATCTGGTGTGTCCTGTGTGTGTCTGTGTGTGTGTGTGTGCGCGTGTGTGTGTGTGTGTGTGTGTGTGTGTGTGTGTGTGTGTGTGTGTGTGTGTGTGTGTGTGTGTGTGTGTGTGTGAGAGAGAGAGACGGGGAGAGAAAAAGCCACCTGCAGTGAGTACAAAATGTCAGAGCTGAACTCATCGCTGCAGTGAGAACATCACATGTGAGTACTCCTAGACAAACAACTATATCTACTAAACTGCTATAACCTCTAACTTGTTAAGAAGCTGAATTGAGGGACATTTTGAAAAAGAAGGGAGATGCGCTAATCAGGATATGAAAATGTCTGTCTGTCTTCGAGGGTCATAATAATTTCTACGAATAATGATAAAAGCAGTTTTAGACAGCGGAGGAATATAAAAATGTCTCTGAGGAAAGAGATGGAACACCTGGACTGTTTTTGGCTTCATTTTAAAACTCTTCGTCTCATTATCCACACACTGTTTGTTTTGTCTTGGCCTTGGTTTGCTTTCATCTGTCTTGTTTGTATTTTTGCCACAAATAATGTCAAATAATGCCAAAAATACGACGAGCCAGAATATCTCCCATGCTCTGGAAGAAAGCCTGGGGATGTTTGTTTGATAGAAACACAGATGGGATGGACTCAGTCAAACAATGCAGGATGAGAAGTCATTTCAATGTATCAGCGTTGATGTACGGACTTCACCTTTATGGAGCTTTTACCGTATTCTTTGTGTTTTGCAACCACCCTGAGAAGGATTTCAAAATCTTAAATCGTTCCTGCCAAAAATAGAAGTCTCAGTTTTTTGAAGTATGAAGATGTACACTTGTGCAATACCTGCAGCAACATGTTGTCATTTGGCAATCAATGGGCTGCTAGATAAGCAAGTGGAACACAAACGTATTCTAATGGAAGACGTTTCTGGAAATATGATAAGTATTAAACCAAAGATTGTGAAACTTTCTTCTACATCTCGTTCCTGTTAGCTGTCAGGGTCTGTTGTCGCTGAGCGGTGCAGATTAGTGGCCTGCTATTACAAATCTGTCATTTAAAGAATACGGAAATATTGGGAACAACAACATTATATTATCATCATTAGGGTCATTATATTTGTTGTAATTTATTTTAGTTGAGGCCTTAATAGTGTATTTTTAATATGTCTATTAATGAAAGAATAACAGTTTACTTTACCATAAACACAACACGCGCATGTCGCAGTCCACATAGCGTATACAGTAAAGCGTATATGTACATAAATTAACTCGAATCAATCAATCAAATTGTCAAAAAACGAATCAACCGTGGCAGCTTAACGCAGGAGTTACATAACTAGTATTACAAAAACAAAATGTCTGTTTTTATTAAGTCTAATGAAACATTTAGAGTCCATGTTTGGTTGGTTTTTTGCTTAATTGTGTCATGTCAAGTTTGTCAACTAATCGTGATTAAAGGTAATGTGTTAATTAGCAATATGGGATTTTAAGAAACAACTGAAAATGTTATTCAGTCCCAAATGTTTCGAGCGACCTGAAAGCCTAAGAACAGTTGGTGCAAACAGTCTGGATATTATTAACATGTGACCCTAAATAAGCAAATGTTAAACATTATAATACAGAGCCGTTAATTATTCCTCAACAAAATGTCTGATTACATAATTGAGGTAAATATTAAACGGTTATACGTTGACGCGCGGTTCAAGACACACGGTCAGTTGAACTTGTGTTGTTCTGATAATCTCACTCACTCCCGTTTTGCACATTTTAACGTTATGTTCCTTTGTGCAACTAAAGATTGGACCTTAACCATTAACTTCTATTTCTACGTTGACATGTTTCTTGTAAATCAACCGTGAAGTCTTAGTAGAAGGAAAGACATATTTGAGTTGTGTTTCTCTTTGTTCCTTCACATTTGATTGGAATTGTAAAATGAAAATGACCTTTAATTCGTGTTCAAATTAACTCTTTCCTGACACTTTAAGTTGTGGTATAGGCTAACGGTTAAAGTCTGTGACCAACAAATACTAGCAGACACTTCTTCCCTTCAGTCCTGTACTGAAGCCATCGGTATAATCTGACTCGGCCTGTCAATAACTATTACCACGTCTGGCCATAAAACAAAAAAACGTTGTATTACAGACGTTGAAACGTACAGCAGACACAGTTTGCCTGACAGCATCTCCGAACACTGAGGAGGCTTAATATCTGTGTTGTATTTGAACCCCAGTGTGCTGGAGCCATAATGACCGACTTCTCCTTATAGATTAAGAAATAAGAAGTCCCGTACTTCTTTCTCTGTCAACACTCATATTTAATGACTCAATGAGTGTTTTCTGCCTCTTCTGGAGGCGACTACCACGCTGTGTTTCCCTCACTCTGTTATAAATATATAGAGATAGATCCTCTGTGTCTCTGGGGGAGTTTTCTTATGAGACAACAGGATTCCCTTTTCATGGCTATTACTCAGTTTTCAATAGTTCAAAGTGAAACTGAAATATCTGAATATATCAGTTAGTGTCCCCCACTGTATTCAGAGGTGGGAGAAGTACTCAGATCTAGTACTGGACTAAAAGTAGAAGTACTCAGATCTTGTACTTGAGTTAAAGTAGAAGTACTCAGATCTTGTACTTAAGTAAAAGTAGAAGTACTCAAATCTTGTACTTAAGTAAAAGTAGAAGTACCAGAGTGTAGGAATACTCGGTGACAAGTCCTGCAATCAAAAATGTTACTAAAAGTAAAAAAGTATCAGCTTCAAGATATNAGAAGTACTCAGATCTAGTACTGGAGTAAAAGTAGAAGTACTCAGATCTTGTACTTAAGTAAAAGTAAAAGTACTCAGATCTTGTTCTTGAGTTAAAGTAGAAGTACTCAGAACTTGTTCTTGAGTAAAAGTAGAAGTACTCAGATCTTGTACTTAAGTAAAAGTAGAAGTACAAGAGTGTAGGAATACTCGGTGACAAGTCCTGCAATCAAAAATGTTACTAAAAGTAAAAAAGTATCAGCTTCAAGATATACTTAAAGTACTTCCCACCGCTGCTTGTATTTCAATGTATCTAGCACCTGAGTAAATAATGACGTACAGTAAATAAAGTTTGCTTAAAGTGAATATTNAAATGGATCAAAAAGAGAGAGAATCTTTGTTCCTGAAACTTTCAGAGTCTCTTTCCACAGAGGGGACACATGTTGATGTAGAAGAGACATGGAGAAGAGGGGACACATGTTGATGTAGAGACATGAGGAAGAGGGGACACATGTTGATGTAGAAGAGACATGAGGAAGAGGGGACACATGTTGATGTAGAAGAGACATGAAGAAGAGGGGACACATGTTGATGTAGAAGAGACATGAAGAAGAGGGGACACATGTTGATGTAGAAGAGACATGAAGAAGTGGATTTTGCATAATAGGTGACCTTTAAAGAACATCTGGATAGTTGCTAAAGCTGCACCTCAACCTTTGATGACTTCCCTCAAAATATTCCACACTGACAATTTTAAATAAGTCCGCTCACCGGTTTAAACTTGAATTCCTCGGCGGATCAGCGTGGTTCTCGAGCTGTGATTTGGACGGAAAACACCTGAAAGTGAGGACTCCCTGTTAGTCACACGGCTATGGAGAGTGTGTTCAGTACCACATCGTTTCATTACTGAAAGAGAGTCAACGTGTGGGCAACAAGCACGAATAGGACATGATTCACTTCTTTCGTAAACACTGTGTTTCCTCGACCTACATTCAGTCCTACAGAGGATTTCCCTCGCTGTGCAGCCTCTATTTCCCCCATTTAGTCTCTTTTACAACCACTTAAAGTCAGATGAACTGAAGTCAGGATGTCTGAGTCCTGCGTCGACAGGAGGAGGTTTTTATCTGTGTGTTTGTGACTTTCTGATTTTTCAGAAACACACAAAATGTCAGTGGAAATGAGGTTAAGAATGAGAAACAAGTGACATTTTTCTCAATGACTGAAAACAGATTGTTTCTCCATGAGGGGGAACTTCATTCAAGCTTCTTTGAAACATCACAGTTGTGAAACAGAAGCATTTCTCCCACTCACAGCTTCGCCTTCAACGTCGGTTCTTATTTTTGTGTAACTGTATTGTTTGTCAGGCAGCTGCATGATCATTTCATCACAATGGAAAGAGTAGAGATTGTTGTTACAGTTCTTTAAACACCAGCCGGGCTGTAATAATGTCAAGCTGTGTCTGCGTACAATTACTGAGAAATCCATCGGAAAGAGGCGTCACAGTTTGCAGGTTACTGTAAGGTTGTCATTAACGTAAAGCTGATTTGTTGAGGTTTAATGACGACGTTGGTTCAACCGTGGAAAAACTGCCTTACCCCCCCACAGCGCCTACAGTACATACCAACATGCAGAAACTGCTGTTCCTGTAAAGTCTATCTGAGCATATCATTCATCCACATTACTGTCTGAATTAGACTTCTCTTATAAAGGTTGACCTATGAGTTGAATCATAGGCACAACACAGATTAACATGTCACAGCATTTAAACACTGCTATGAACAGTCTTTTGTACTAATGTAATTGTAGTTATATATGCATCCACACAAGTGACTGTTATTTATGCCTCTTAATGTGTGAATATGTATCTATGTTGATTATATATGTGTGTATATATATATATAAGTTTCTGTACAGGTGTGTATGTATATATATATATGTATATCTGTTTTATTTGTATTTTTGTATCTTCGGGATTGTGGGAAACAGTATTTCGATCACACACAAACTGAAAGATTGACAATAAAGTTAACTTTGATAAACGTGTATTGACTGATGCACCAAAGTACATTCTGCGGGGGAAACTTCTGAAGCAATTGGAGACAGAGAGACACGAGGAGAGCTGGAGCTTTGATGGCAAACACTGACGGTTTATTTGGAGCTTCGGCCGGAGAACTCACACGACATGTCACGGGTCACGAGTGGACCACACGGTAGAGATGCCACAATCAATTCTGACTCTACCCCAGACCCGGTATTTAGCTAGTTCAGAGAGAATAATCAACATTGTGCAGAACAAGATAGAAGCATAACACCTCTACCAGCTGACGCCAACAGGCAGGAACAGGGAGGCAGAACACTGAGAGCACAGCAGCTAAGGCTACAGGTGCGTGTGCTCAGTCAGGACAGAACTGATAAACTGGGTCAAAGTTAAGGGCCCTGACACATTCAGTTTTAGTAACTTCGTGCAACGTTAAGCCATTTGTCCCGTATAAGGAAAATACATGTTCGTAACATAATGTGTTTTAGATAACCGTCCCTAAAGTGCACACGGAGCTGGAGAAAAAGGACTTTTGGTTACGCTGTTTGCTTGGAAAAAGGTGCGATATGAACTCAGGGTGCTGCTCTCTCTGAACAGATTTAAATTCCATATTAATTATTAATTAGATTATATTAGATTCCTTTATTGTCACTACAAAGAGTACAGCGAAATTCCAAGTATTCCCAAAGGTGCAATCACACATAACAGACAGTATAAGTGTCATTTGACAATACAAGCTAACAACATTTAATATATACTATATAAAGTGACTAAGAATTGGACCTATGATACATAGAACAGTACGCTTATAAAACTATGTAACATTACCATACAAATATAAAAACAAATAAATAAGTTATTGTACATGTGTTTGTCAGTGCAGTTGATCATTACAAAAGTAGAAGTAAATAACGACAGACAAGCAGAAGCTCCGTCTGCAGATGCCTTTTATGATAGTGTTTCTGATTGTCTGTAACTGCTGCTTGGCCAGAGATATTTAATGTCAATGAGACTAAAGGTTAAATAAAACCTCTGAAATGAACTTAAACTAAACATAATATTGCATTATCTTGGGCGCTTATAGTTAAGTTGGCATTTCATAACAGTGGTGGTGTGTAATCAAGTATAATTACTCAGTATTTAAGAAAACATTTGACGTACTTTTGTGGTGTTTTTGTTTGTATTTCCCCCCCGTATACTCTTCATCTCAGAAGCAAATATCTTAGAGCTTGTTTAGAGGTAATTGTTAGATTACTGTACTTATTTTTCCGTAACACAAACAAACAATATTCTGAATGTTTGAGATAAACCAGAGGATTAAGAGCGTCTTTCAGGAAAATTATTCACTTCTTAAGCTAAATAAACAATGTCTCTGGGATCGGCTGAAAAATGCAACACAATCAATCAAACATAGTCCAAAGAAATCAGACATCATAAAAACACCAACAGGCTGACTTCAAGTTCATTTAGCTGATAACATCTGCATGGCTTTTACTTGTAATTAAGTATTTTCAAAGCGTAGTATTAGTACTTTTACTAAAGGATCTGAATACTTCTTCGACCAATGCTTGCACATTTAAATTGTCTTCAATCAAAAAAAAGCAAAAAAGATTCCCTAAATGAATTTGCTTACAGTAAGTGGCCTACTGCGTTCGGATCAGGGGAGCACAGGTTCAAACCCCAATGCAGTCAGCATGTCGTTGTGTCCCTGAGACACTTCACCCCAAATGGCTCCTGTGGGGATTGCCCTCAGTATTGAGTATGTTAGTGGCTTTGGATAAAAGAGTCTAACAAGTAACATGTAATGTAATGTATGTATAAATCTGAGCGAATACAGTTACTTATACTACAAAAAGTATCAAGGGTAATCTGTCTCTCAGCAGCCTCAACGTTTGTTTGCAAATGTGATGAATTTCACATCTGCTGCTTAAAAACTGCTGCATTACATAAATCCAGGAGTCTGACATTAATTAGAAAATTAAATTATTCATTGTGAGCCAGCATTAGACGCACAGTATGGGTGCACGTGTGAGAAAGAAATCGCAGTAAAAAAAAAAACATTGGCAGGAATATTTCGCTTTAACCGTCTAAAACATGTTGCCGTTACAACCATTCGGAGGCACTTTTAAAAAGAATAGCAATTATGTTTTATTTCATCCACAAAATGCAGACCAACAAACATTCTGAGCATGAATTAAATTAAATTAAACTCCACTAGTGCTCTTTGGGTGAGTAGAAGGAAAACACGTGCTCAATTCAGTACAGCTCCAGGAGTCACTATGTTTTTTAGTTCGTGTGAGTACGTGTCAGAAATAGAAATTAAAGAATTATGAAATGAAGCTTTTATGTTGAGTTTTGCCTGGAAAATGTTGGTATACTTTTTGTATTGTTCTCAAAATCTTCCGGGCACTTTTTGTCCCTGGTTTAGGAAGTTAAGAGACATTTCAAGATGTTTTGGGTCACTTGACCCGCCTTCATCTCTGAGAGCGGTTGCAGTGTATTCCATCTTATCGCTTAAAGAGTATCGGACATACGCAGCTGCACACAACTAGCAGCTTCTGAGACCCACATGGGACATTTCCGTGTTTGTATATGTGTGTGTTTTGCCTTTGTCATTTCTTTTCAGTATAACCAAGTTTACACATCTCAGAAATCAGCACAACCTCAGCTAATGATATATGTCCCTCATTAGAGAGTTGTATACACTGTAGTAGGGGATATTTGCCCATAAAACAAAACAACTGCTAACCATTACCATTATGTTACATGNTTTTCTTAGTTATGTTCTCTGTATTTTATATGTTTGTGTTATGTGTAACGATTGAGATAAAATCTAATTTACAATGCTGACCTGGCCAAGAAGGCAGCAACGTTACACATAACACAAACATATAAAATACAGAGAACATAACTAAGAAAACAAAAGACGAAAAAAGCAGTCACTACAGTGTGCACATTAGGACAATAAGAAAGGCACTACTTATTACTGCAAGAGCAGCTGGTGGTACTTCTGACAACTTCAATTTAAAACATGCTATAGAGACAATTAAATGTATAATGTCAACAAATGTCACTGAACTGTATTAGGTTAGTTGAAAGCAGTTGATATTTATTTAAACTTGCTTTCATCTGACTTCAAAATAACGTTTGGGGAATCTGTTGAGATAATAAGTGAACGTATAAAGGACAAGGCCAAACCTTACATTTGTACAGCAGTAGAAAAGCAACATAGACATTCATTAGACAGAAATGCGTATCTAAAACTATCTAACTAGAAACAAATAAGTGAATAACTAACAGGTCAAATGTGACTGCATAATGAATACTTGTACTTTTGATATTTTAAGTACATTTAACGGATATTACTAAGGTTTTTGTTGCCGTTCTTTTACTTGCAGTGATAGTACATTTACTAAAATAACCGATCTGAATGCTTCTTCCAACATGTCCATTTTACACTGTTCAACTAAAGGCAAACAAATAATGTCATACTTGTATCACTTGTGTGGATACACTTACATTTTCCCACTTAACGAGTACTTTTACTTTTTATATTTTAAGTAAATCTGCCTAAACTACTTTTTCTTCTCACGTTTTGTTGAGCGAAATAGACTAAAGGTGGCTTCCAGCTTCCTTCCCACCTTGCGATGGATTCAAATGAATGTTACTTAAGAGATGTCTCCTCTCAAGATTTACCTCCTGCAATAAATCCACATCAGTAGCATTATTTACAGGTGTGTGTGTATTACTTCCACAATGAGCTGAACAACACACACACACACACACACACACACACACACACACACACACACACACACACACACACACACACACACACACACACACACACACACACACACACACACACACACACACACACACACACACACGCGCACACACACACAGAGCCACAGATGTTTTATTAAGGGGAAATTGAGTGCGGGCGAGACTCAGCAGGTTATCAGCGGAGATAAACACCAGCAGATGTTCCTGCAGGTGTACATTCACCACAAAATATTACAAGAACTGCTTATCATGCCGAGCGTCATCTGAAATGTACTCTGGATGACTGACAATTGATTTTACTCAGAATCAGAATCAGAAAACCTTTATTAGTCCCCCAGAGGGGAAATGTACATTGTTACCGCAGGAAAGAGCCAAAGACAGATTGATGTTACCTCAGAAACATGCGTTAAAAAGTATTAAAGTTACACAATTTACCAAATACACATCATGTAACAGTTCTGAGGATTTACTGAAGCAGCCAGGTATATATTACACAGTTATTAACGGCATATATATTCAATGAAATGTGGAATGAAACACTGATTTTGAACACGATTGTGGGCTTTTACACTTTAAAGTGAACTGTGTAGCCGTTACAAAAACACAGATAAGAAAAAAGTGAATAAGTTCATAATGAATTTAACCTGCACTCTGCATTTATTGTGTTGTTTGTTAAATCCTCGGGCGGCTGCTCTAATCATCTCCGTTGATTTTGATCAGCTGTGTAGGGAATGAAGCTGGAAGAGCCACCTTTAGTCTATCGCTCAGCAAAACGTGAGAAGAAAAAGTAGTTTAGGCAGATTTACTTAAAATATCAAAAGTACTCGTTAAGTGGGAAAATGTAAGTGTATCTGCACAAGTGATACAAGTATGACATTATTTGTTTGCCTTTAGTTGATACAGTGTAAAATGGACATGTTGGAAGAAGCATTCAGATCGGTTATTTTAGTAAATGTACTATCACTGCAAGTAAAAGTACGGCAACAAAAACCTTAGTAATATCCGTTAAATGTACTTAAAATATCAAAAGTATTCCTTGTGCATTCACATTTGACCTGTTAGTTATTCACTTATTTGTTACTAGTTAGATAGTTTTAGATACGTATTTCTGTCGCATTAATGTCTATGTTGCTTTTTTACTGCTGTACAAATGTAAGGTTTGTCCTTGACTTACTGGATATGCCGTTAATGGGAACAGAATCAGATAAGAAGGAAACCGTTAGTGGGAATTTCTTCCAGCCTCACGCTTTGCTTGGCATGTCAAATATGTTCAAAACCCCAAAAATCCTTAACTTAAAATCTCAGTCAAAATATTGAAATAAAGGTTTGAAATATGGCTTTCTGGATAAAAGGACATATTTGTGTCTAGAATAATGCAGAACAAGTTTGGAGCTGCATTTGCCTCAATGCCAGGTCCCTGATGTCAAACATGCCGTCCGTTATCTATCATATAATCCACCATTGTTTTCTTCATTCACTTTCCTCCTGTCAATTTAAAAATGCACTTCAGGAATTGAACTGCATTAATTCTGTTTCGTCATTTGTTTCATGTCTGCACTAAGCTACAACTGCAGGCCGTTCTGTTGCATAATGACAATAACATATCCTTGAATTCTTAAATATAGAATCAATGGAGCGCTTTAAAACAAGAAGAAACAGAATAAGTTATCAGGTGTTAGAAAATACACTTGTCATAATTTTAGAGTAGCTCAAAGGGATTTAAGAAGTAAATTGTGGACTTTTTTGACACAGTAAAATCCGGAGTGTTAATTTAACACTCTGATATAAGGACCATCAGTGTTAAAATTGACTCTTTAAGTGTTAATTTAACACTTAAATCCCTCCCTTTAAGTGTTAATTTAACACTTAAAGGGTCCATTTACATTTTTTTTTTTTTTTTTAAATGGTCCTTATCTCAGAGTGTTAAATTAACACTCCGGATTTGACTGTGTTGTGTAACTGTGTTTGATTGGTTGATATTCAGTATTATTACGTACGCAAGGGCAGTTTTTGCCACATTTCATACGGCTAACTTCATCTTTTTGCTTGTCAGACGGGAGAAAAATCACCCTGTAGACTTTGTACAACTTTTACATGCATTTACAAATAAATACTGCTTTGATGCGAAAGCTCCCAGTGTTCACAGAAGTTATTGAAAGACTTGATTTTTTGATAGATTTTTGATATAGTACATCCAAAGATAGACAGAAAAAAGGTGCGAGACATGCAGCTAGAGACCACGGGTAGGACTTGAACCCTCGGTGCCAGATTTAATTGTTGCTAAAGCTAGCTCGTTAAAAAATTGAAGTAAAAAGGAACGGTAGGTCGGGGTGTAAAGTGAACACAGATAAACGTGTTGGAGTTGAAACAAGCTTACCTTACAGAGGAGATCAAACAATGCTTTTTACGATTAGATAAATATTGATTTCACCGTAACCTTTTTATTTTCCCTCACCTCTTTATTAAAGTAATGTAATATTCTTAATTTGCATTTAACCTCTGTCTAAAGGCAGATTGGAGCAACAGGTTATGGGTTGAATTCTGATTATGGATCTAAATCAGCACAATTAAATGACATGGGGAAAATTATCCGAGCAATTATTATTAATTAGGTGCTATTTAAAAAGATAGCTAACGAGTCCGCGGAGACCATTCACCAATCAGACGGCCACTTAAATTACAATTCTAGCCAATTAAGACACGTTGTTTGTTTTCTGTCGCATGAATTAAAACGTTACAAAGAAAAACATTTGAATGTTCTGATTAAAATATAGAGGGTTAGGGTAACGTATTTTGTTGGTATCATCATTTAGCACATATTCAACACATTCGTAAAGAATAGAAAAAAATTGATTAGATCTTATCTTCTTCCTCCCTAAGAACCAATCAGAGGTCATTATTCTGATTCTGTGTTTGATCGACGACTGTCTGCTTTTCTTTCAGACCAATCGCTGACGAGGGCGGGGCGACGGCTCTTAAAAACTCACTTTCTTTGATACCTTTTCACCATTTCCACCGACTCCAGATCACTGAACACAGAGGGACTCAACAACACATGTACGTATGCTGTAGTCTGTTTGAGTTTAAATTATAAATGCATATACTTTAAAATATATATATAACAAATGTCAGTATTCATGTTTTTCTGTTACCTAATATTCATTTTGAATGATATGACTTGATCTGGCTTATCGAGGCCGAAAGGTCAAACCTAATTTGTTTACTTTATTTCATATTCACAGCGTCAATGTGTTGTACTTTAACGCACGGTTCCATCATTAAATACAGTTTAGAGTATTAAAATAAAACTGAAAGGAGTTTTGAATGATTAGAAATGAGAACTTTTCACAACAAACGTCATAAAAATTAAGAAAAACAATATTTTAATAATTTTAAACATCTTATATAATTTAGACCTTTTTTTGGTTTTATTTGTCGTGTTTCCTTTTTCTTGCCTACTGCGTTGTTGGAAGTATGAAAGCAACGGCAGAAACAAATTGACTACCGCTATACACACAGTCTACAAACTTCAAAGGTAGAAAATAGTTCAGGTATTTCATTTAAATTGAATATCAACATCTCACCTCAATGTATTTAAATAAAATACAATTTAGTCTACGGCTGATTTTTAGTCAAACAGTTATGTCTTCTGCTACGTCTACCTTTAACGGCACACACAAATAACCATGCCAAATCTATTTAGGAGTAAAATCTAATTCAGTTCAGATACAGCGCAAAATTATGATTTGAAATTTTAAAATTAGACAAATTGGTTAATAAATTATACTTTAATCTTGCCTTTAGTTATTTTCTCTTGTCTTTCTCTGCTCCCTCTCCTCCTTCCTTCAACACCCTAGTATTTGACCCTCCCCTCTTCCTCCTCCTCTTCCTCCTCCTCCTCCTCCTCCTCCTCCTCCTCCTCTTCCTCAGCTCGTTGTTGAATCTCCCTCCTGACTGCAGACATGTTTTTGTTGTGTTTCTGGGTTTCAGCTCCACTGTAACTGTGTCTGTGTATCATCGATATCTCCCTCTGTGTCTCTGACTTACTTTCCCACCACCTCTGATCTCACTTATTCTAAATAATGCAACTCCAACGATTTATTTTCTCTATCTCTCTCTCTCTCTCTCTCTCTCTCTCTCTTCACATGTTGTGAAACAGATGCATTGGAAAGACTCTTCAATACATTTCTCCTTCTCACCTCAGGATTTATCTTTAGGCCCGAGGCGTTTGATCGTAACATTTTAAACCGAAATAACAGTTTGTTTTTCAATGTGTTGGGATTAGTTTTGGTAAACTTACAACAAACAAATAGTGACTTTGTGACATCTGAAATATTCAGCCGGACACTTTAGTGTAGAGCGCTGTAACTCATTTTCACAGGAACGTGCGGATAGTTTGTGACGAACGGAGAAAAACAAACTGAGATTTTGAACGTTTTTTGGGGACATTTGAAGCTTTTATCAGCTAGGTGACGATAGAGAGATGAGGGATGATAGGAAACAAGAAGGGTCCTTGACTGCAGTGGTTTCAAACATGGGGTCAGGGGACCTAGTTGGGGTCATAAGAGCCTATTTGATAGGGGTGGAAGAAAGCTTTAAAAACATACATTTGACCTCTATCTCGCAGTTTTTGTGAAGAAAGGCGAAATTAAATCGTTTTTTTTAATAGTTTGGATTATTAATTATTACAAGATGCAAAATAATTTTTATATCTCACGGGATAAAGCCCTGGTTAACCACAAATATGCTGCAATGCTGTTTCAATAGTTTAAGAGGTGATACAAATGTTTATACAAACCTTAGAAGTTGAATACAAAATGTCCAATAAAAGCTCAAATTAAATCAAATAAAAATATGAATATAAACCTAAGAAGTTAAATATAAGAACTCCATTAAAAGCTCAAATTAAATCAAATAAAAATATAATAAATATAAGAAGGCAAATAAACAGAGGTTATATTAAGTATGTAGTTTCAGTAGTGCTTTAGTATTAACAAAGTAATAACAATGCAATACATAACCCCAGATCTGTTCTGAGTCATTTAAGATTAAAGCTGCTTCAAAAGTACTTTTTGTGCACACTGTACACACTTCAGAGAAAGAAAGAAGTGAGGGAGATAAGGGGGAGAGAAGAGAGAAACATCTACCTGTAAACCACAGTTTTCTGCCGGAGCTGTGGTCTCTCTTCTCTCTCTGTCTTCGAGCGACGAGAGATCCGTCTTTCGTGGAACAGGAGAGGAAGAGAGAGGGTGGGGGAGGCAGAGGGGGAGGATCGGGATAACAATCTCCACTCAAATCAAGGCCTCCGCGTCTCCTCTCATCTAAAAACCCACCACAGGCCGCCTACTCTCGACTCCTATCTCCTCAAATCTCTCCAAATCTGAGACCACCACAAACCCCTCGCTGCTTCCTGCTCTCTCTCTGCAGCACGGATGTGTTTTTTCTTTTGTAAATTGTGTATCTTTTTTTATTATAATTGTTTTTTTATCTTTAATACTTTTTTGTATGCATGCTACCGAGGCAAGGCAAGTTTATTTCAACCCAGTCTCACAAAAAACGAGTAATAGCTACGTTGGTCGACAGGGCAAGACGTAGTATAACCACAAATAACCCTCTCAAGACGTGACACAATATTTGTAAAAAAAAACATGGAGCTCAAATCATCTTCGTAATATCTATCAAACTATAGATCCTCCTACACATCCACTGGGCGTAGATTTTAAAAGTACAATATACACATCTCGCTAGAAATGTAATCAAAAAGCATTTTAACGGCCAAATTATCCTACAATTTAGGATTTTCCACTCAAAATAAATCGGGTGTCCGCCATGTTTTTTTTTCTCCCACTGCGAAAGTTTGCAATCACGTGACATGGACACTCGTCATGAAGAAATGAATAGGAACAAACATTGTATCCATGTCACGTCTTGAGAGGGTTATTTGTGAATATATGTTTTGGCCTGTCGACCAACGTCGCTATTAAACATTTTTTTGTGAGCCTTTCAACACAAGGCAATTCAAAGTGCGTTACAAAAATGAAAGACAGCAAAAAAAATGGCATTTAAAAACAGTCATTAAAAAATAAAGAAAAGAAAATAAACATTAAGAGAAAACATACATGAATAAAGGTTACAGTGCAGTTTAAGATGTGAATAGTTCAATTAGAAGCAGCGGCAAAAAGAAAAGTATTCAGCCTGGATTTAAAAGTAGTCACAGTTGCAGAGGACCTGCAGGTTTCTGGGAGTTTGTTCCAGATATTTGGAGCATAATAACTGAATGCTGCTTTACCATGTTTAGTTCTGACTCTTGGGACAGAAAGCTGACCCGTCCCTAAAGACCTGAGAGATCTGGATGGTTCATAATTTAGCAGGAGGTCAGAAATGTATTTTGGGCCTAAACCATTCAAAGCTTTATAAACCAGCAGCAGTATTTTGAAATCTATTCTTTGACATACAGGAAGCCAGTGTAAAGACTTCAGAACAGGAGTGATGTGATCCACTTTCTTAGTGTTAGTGAGGACTCGAGCAGCGGCGTTCTGAATTAGCTGCAGCTTTCTAATGGATTTTTTAGTGAGACCTGCAAAGACACCATTACAGTAGTCCAGTCTACTGAAGATAAAAGCATGGACAAGTTTTTCCAAATCCTACTGTGACATCAGTCTTTTAATCCTAGATATATTCTTTAGGTGATAGTAGGCTGATTTAGTAACTGTTTTAATGTGACTGTTGAAACTCAGGTCGGAGTCCATGACTACACCTAGATTTCTGGCTTTATCTGTTGTTTTGA